CAAAATGGCGGCAACGATGTTCGAATCTTGGGCTTCTCTGGAGACGAATTTCATAGGGGAAAACCTGCACTTTAGAGGCTGAAACTTCGGCGAGTGGCTAAACTTAGTACAAGGTTTTTATTTACGTTGACAAAAAATATACATATTTTGGAGTGACCTTCTCCTGCAGTGACCTTCTCCGAATCTTGATCATTACTCGGAGATGAAGGGTTAGGATCACTGTTCTAGAGAACGGTGCGTGCCCAAGGCGTCTCTTTCTGCTTGGGGTCCCCGCGAGCATCTAGAACTTGGGACGAGCTAATAATCTGTGCACGAGGGTAAAAAGTGATTACTCTCGGTTCATAACGTGAACTATTTCGCACGGACAGTTACCGTATTTACTCCATTAAACGCCTACCTCGAATAAACGCCACATTTTAGAGCAGAAATATTAATAAACTCAAAAAGCAAATGCGGTAATAGCCAAGTTTGAGCAAGCCTAAGAAAAATATTTTCCTTTATTGTAACAATGTTTCAATGCCAGTACATTCGAAGCTCAAAGGAAAATAATCAAAACACGAGAACCATATACGGTCGTTAGCTTTACTTGCTTTCATTGATAACAATGGTTTTCAGTGGAAAGTGAGTACACTTCAATGCTATTTCTATGCTCTTACCATACTATTGTTTGCAAGGAATAAATTGGATTCTAAATAACACCGCCTAGCTTTGTACCAACGCCTCCCTCGAATAAACGCCGCACCCGAATCACGAAAAATTTAAAAAACGCCACGGCGTTTAATTGAGTAAATACGGTAAGATATTTTCTTGGAACACCTTAGTTCATGAAGTTAGAGATGCCCACGTTCTCATGTTAGTTACAAATGTGCGCTGACTACACCTGATCATACGATCGGACTCCATCATGAAAAGTTCAGGGCTAGTTGTCGGAAAATTTGAATTAAACCCTAAAGGAGAGCAATCCTGGTGTGGCTCGAGCTTTAGTTGACTCATAAAAAATACCACTTAAAAAGGAATAGGCTTGATTGCCAGCTGCTGTTCGGAAAAGGAACCCGCGCTAGTAGACCGGACTCGAGAGACCAGCGGAAATCGAGCCTGAAAACGGAAATAAGAGCGTTTTTNACTTAAAAAGGAATAGGCTTGATTGCCAGCTGCTGTTCGGAAAAGGAACCCGCGCTAGTAGACCGGACTCGAGAGACCAGCGGAAATCGAGCCTGAAAACGGAAATAAGAGCGTTTTTTTATTACTATTTATTCGAATGCACCCTAAAATATCTTTAAACAGCTAATAATAGTAACGTTTCAACATCCTAAGTGCGAGCAGAATCCTTGATTTATACCCCTAAGCGAGACGACGAGTATCTCTGATCTTTTCATATTGAACTCCCCACCCGGCCCGTTTTCCCTGTGTATATTTAGCGTTATTCTCTCTTCAAACGCAGGCTTAAATCTACCTTATAGTTCGTGTTTACTAACATGGAACTGGTGAGAGCCCACTCCCGTTCTCTGAGCTCTTACTCGACCTTCTTACAATGAGTAGCACTGGGAACGACACTGGTGGGATGCAGGCTTTATCGTTGGGTCTTTTGGCGGGAACGGCTTAGTAGCGTTTGAATTGACTGTAACACTTTAACTGAAGGTTAGCAGCCCAACATGGCAATACATGAATACAAAGCTCATAAATTTATCAAGAACCTCAGAGCTATAAATTACATCAACGGCAGTGAGAAAATAAGTAAATGAGTAAATAAATAAATAAATAAGTAGCAAAAAAAAAATAATAAAAACTTTCGGCGGAGGTGACAGGACTTAGACACCACTTAAACTAAGTAAACGATTA